AAGTAAGTACTACTGGCTAGCTAGTTGCGCGCATCTCCCGTTGATTATATAGCTATACTTTCATAAATGCCATTTATACTGCTTCATTATCAGTTTGATTGACCTCTATTTCTCGTAAAGTGCTTGTGGCAGGAACAAGGGAATTATTTCTGTGGATACTACGTGTGCGAGTTCATCTACAACGCGACTTTGAAAAACAAGCGGGGCTACTCTAAAAGACAATATGAAGTGCGTAAGCAATAATATTCACAATTTCATTTTATTACACCATCATTTCTATTGAGTTTCATACATATATATGTATTAATTAACCCCCTTCTTCAAATTAGACGTGGCAGATGCAGAATGAACTCCTAGAACCTGATCGCATGAAAGCAATTCAAGAGGAATTGGCGGGATTCTTTCTTGACCACGTCATCAATAAAGCCGGAGAATACCATGTGAAAGTTGATTTCAATTGCTAGGGGATTGTAATGAAGAGATCTTACATATTGTATATGTATGTAGCCAGTAGCATCGGATAGATAATACGAAAACTTGTTGTTCGACCAATCTCTCGGAGTCGATCGATCACTTCTCTCGGTATGCATGATGAACTTCTGTACTTAATGGTTCCCTTCATTTTCTTACTAGCTAGCGTGTCGAGGGCCTCTCTATGTATAGTACGTAGCGTCGACCAAGCACGGACATAAGAGAGGACACTTCTCTCTATTAATTAGCTAGCTAACACAATATATGAAACACCTAAATTAACCCCCCCAAACCCCCAACCCCCCCCCCTCCCCTTTCAAAAAAACAAAAAAACCCAGCCACTGGAATGCTGACGCGTGGATGCCTTTTGGTCCCGGTTGGTGTCACCAACCGGGACCAAAGGGCCCCCTGCCTGGGCTTGGCGCACCGGCCACATGGAGGACCATCTGTCCCGATTCGTGTTAGAACCGGGACTAAAGGGGGGAGGTATTAGTAACGACCCATGAACCGGGACTAAAGGCCCTTACGAACCGGGACAAATGCCCCTTTTCTACTAGTGCCTACTCCCAGTGGGAGTAGGACTCCTCCCTGGCACGCCTCCTCCTGGCCGGCTGGCCCTCCCCCTTGATCCTTTATATACGGGGGCAGGGGGGCACCTCTAGACACAACAACAATTGATCCTTGGATCTCTCAGCCGTGTGCGGTGCCCCCCTCCACCATAGTTCTCCTCAATAATATTGTCGCAGTGCTTAGGCGAAGCCCTGCGACGGTAGAACATCAAGATCGTCACCACGCCGTCGTGCTGACGGAACTCTCCCTCGACACTCGGCTGGATCGGAGTACGAGGGACGTCATCGAGCTGAACGTGTGCTAGAACTCGGAGGTGTCGTAGTTTCGGTGCTTGATCGGTCGGGCCGTGAAGACGTACGACTACATCAACCGCATTGTTCTAACGCTTCCGCTTTCGGTCTACGAGGGTGCGTGGACACACTCTCCCCTCTCGTTTCTATGCATCACCATGATTTTGCGTGTGCGTAGAATTTTTTTAAAATTACTATGTTTCCCAACACATACCACAACTTGTTCTTGCATAGTGTGGTTCATTGCTCGAGTACCGGTGATGGTGATGCATAGATTGCGCTCATGCTGAGGCCACATTTACGGTCCGTCGTGGCGCAGTGTATACAGGTCTTATTTTATAGATAACAATGTTTTTTGACCGGGTATAAATTACAATATTGATTATGCAAGTTTATAAAATTAACCATAACTTTATGCTTTTCCCTAAAAAAATGTATAACTTTATGCTAGAAATGGAAACAAATAGGTGGTTCCAAATGCAGTTTACCTTACATTCCATGTTTTAGACGAAATTGTTGTTGATTTACTGTGAAAACAAAATTGAGGGGGTCCAATTACCAACCTACTTGGAAACAATAAAAAAATTGCGGGAAAACACTCGATGGTTGGTCAACACTAGGCCCCCAATGGATTAGCTCGCCCCTCGATGGAAAGAGTGGCTGTTACTGCATGCCAATTTGGCACGTACTCCCTTCATTACAATGAGTGCACGCATCTCAGTGTTCAACTTTGATCATAAATTAGACCAACCAAATGTAGGTTATACGTGATACAAATTATATGGTTGAATTGATATTGAGAAGAAATTTTCGATGGCATAACTTTTAAGTCGCATGAATATATATTATTGATCCAATTCTGGTCAAAGTTGAATTTTGGAAAACGGAACGCCTTATTCACTGGAACGAAGGAAGTAGCCGCATGGCAACAGAGGCACTGCTGTATGCAGGGTTAAATTATTTCATTCTTTGGATATTTTTGCCCAACGTCTTAGGTCAAGCAGTCCAAGTAAATAGCAACAGATACATTGCCAAACCAGCATCAACCATCCCCAAATCGTTGGTTGCATAGTTTTATCTCCAAGGGAGCTAGAGCACCTCCCTGGAAAGAGAACATTTTTTTGTTATTTCAAAATGATTTTTTATCTTTTGCAATGCAAGAAGCCATAAATTGACCAGGTCCGAGAGTTACAAGAGAAATCCCTACATAAAAAATTATAAACGGACCCACGAGGAGTTCGTCGTCCTGGACAAGCCGATGGCACGCTGCGAGCCTAACACGAAGCCACACCTAGTACTTATCATAGAACCAAGGAGTCATTGTAACTATGACCCGGAAGACAATGCATGCTAATGAGAGACGGCACTGAGCCAGCGACGACGATCGAAGCACAAACCATTAACGTCAAGAACAAGTTAAAGATCGAGCGAGGAGACAATAATCCACATCAACACCGAAATGTAGTCATATGATCATATCGAAGAGATCATCGACGCCACTGGAAACCGAAGCGGATCATCTTGGTTAATGATATCCCCCTCCCCCAGAATCTGGTAGACCGGACATCAGGAAAACAACCATCACGTGCCCGACGGTGCTGCTAGAACCAATACCTCCTCGACAAGGACTGAGGTATTTATTCCACTGCATCGTCTCCTCTACCACCAGGACGAAGGACAGGAGGACGCCAATTTCTAACAAACTAGAGAAAACTTCATACGAGAGCGAATATCCATTCCTAGGGGCGTCGGAACCGGCCACCAAAGGTGAGGGAGACATGCAGAATAAGTTGATGAGGATGAGGACTAATTTGTGGCAGTTCCTTTTTTAAAAAGAGAGTGTAGATTAATCCTTCAAAAACACCGTAGCACAAGTCCTTACGACCTAACTATGCTAAAGCATGTGTCACATCATTATCTTTTGTGTTGATTTTTCCCCACAAGTTTCATGAAGCGGCGTTCATGTTTAAGCTGCTTGAATTCTCACATGACGATGCTACTTATATTTGATCTATTCAGATATGTCGATTTGAAATCTCTTACCACTAAATTGCAATCAATCTCAAACACTAACAGATTGGTCGTACACTGCTGATTGTCTCAGACTTTCTAGACAGGCACATGCTTGTCCTTCATTTTCGCCATGATGGATTATATCCCAGTATTGCGTGTGTGTGTGCGTGCGCGCGCGCGCGTGCGTGCGTGCGTGCGTGCGTGTTGGTTAGGTGTGAACTCTGTAAGTACTTGTTCGGTTAATCCCCTCCACAAGGAGTTGGAGAGGATTGGAGGGGTCAAATCCCAACCGAACAAGGCCTAAGGTTATATCACCGCCTTGGGACGTTTTAAATCAATAAAATATACTTTGTCAAGAAAAAAAGATGAGGCTCTTCCACAAACACACATACACTCCAATTTTACCACCTACTATTAGGCTAAGTTTGCTATTTGAATAGTGTTGTGTTGAAATGCCGAAACTAGTCACTTCCTTGTTTTCTTACAAATTTTGGCAAGATCCTCAAAAGAAAAATCAATTGGAGTTCAAAATACTCCCTCCTTGTTTTCTGAATAGGATGTATATAGACATGTTTTGGTGTATAGAACAATGCCAGTGCGTTGCAACGGGATATAAATATTCTAGCACGTTAGCTTGTGATTTACCTGTTAATAATAATGCGATTATGTAAATAAATGTCCATCAAATTCTGCCCGTAAATTACCTTGTATTTTAATTAGAAGTTTGGTAAGTAAATTAAAATAAAATTTGTTCGGAAAGTAAGTAAATTAAGGTGATTGATTATCATATACATGGAAGGTTGGACAAATGGGGGGTGAAAAGAAAGGTAAAATAAGAACCTTACGTTCTTTTTAAGTAGTATAGATATAGATATTTGTTCACCTATTTCAGTACGTATGTAATCCATACCGAAATATCCAAAACATCTTATAATTCGAAACAGAGGGAGTAGCATATAGCACAAGGTCCAGCAGTGACTAAAAACCCTTAAAATCTTAGCTTTCTTTTATCACTTAGGAGTCATGCAAGATGAAAGTTTCATGCACGGTTCTGCACGAGAGAAAGAAGCAAGAAATCCTCTTTTTGACTCAGATCCCCCACTCCAGTCGTTCGTAACAAAATCTATCTGAATCGAAGAGCCCATAGCTTTCCTAATATCAAAACTAGTGCACTGTCGATGTATTGAATTATAGAGAGCCCATTAGATTGATCTTAAGTTGGTTCTCTTGAACCAGACATTCATTATTCATCTCTAGCAGCATAAGATACACCAAAACAAGTACTAATATAATTAAGTTGTGATACAGGACACGCATACATGTACATATTACACAATAGTATAACAAGCACTCTCCATTAAAAAAGAAAAAAATACCAACAGTTTATAACAAGCATATAATAACACTAGTAACACACGTCCGTACATATACTCAATCTGCACGCATAGATCCAAACAATCCTTCACTGGTCACTGTTTACAATATAGATGTTGGAACCAAGTGATGTTGAATCAATCACTCGGATTTATTCCATGGACGACACGCAGCAGAGGCGACAGAATTACCAACATGCATGGCAATATGTGGCATCGACCGTACGCTGGAGTCGTCTCGTGAGTCGTGATATACCTGCTCACGAGATAACGTAGCGGAGCTCTAGGCGCTGTCGCGTAGCCGCTGGAGCAGCGCGGAGCGGAGGGCGGCGCCGTCATCGTGCTGCAGCGCGGCGGGCACGTCCACCACGACGTCCTGCACCGTCGCGCCCTGCACGCGGCTCACGCACGCGTGCTGCACCTGCATCTCAAGCGAGCGGAGCGGGCTCATCAGTCTCGCCGGCGCGTACGGGGCGGACCCCGCTGCCGTCGTCACGCGCAGCGCCGCCGCCTCCCGTCCCACCATTCGCACCTCCACCGTCTCGTCGCCGGCTAGAAAGTGCTGGAAGGAGGCGCCGCCACCGCCGAGGGAGCCCGAGTTAGTGTCCCACCTCGCGGCGGCCGCCTGCTTGCTCTCGTCCTCGAGCCGGGCCACACGGGCGCGCAGCTCGGCGATGTATGCGGCGGCGTCGGCGAGGAGGGAGGCCTTGTCCATGCGGGACACGGTGGGGACAGCAGCGCGGAGGTCGCAGAAGCGGCGGTTCAGTTTGTCGCGGCGCTGCCTCTCGGCCTCCACGTGACTGACTGTGGGCCCCTCGGGGCGTGGCCCGGGCTTCCTCCCACGCTGCTTGGCCGCCGCCGGCCGCGGCGTCGACTCCGTGGAGGCAGGGAGGCTCGCCGCCGGCAGCTCCGAGATCTCGGAGTCCGTGGACAGCAGGGACCCCGCGGGCCACAGGTCCCCCGCGTCCTCGCTCTTGGCCGGCACGGCGACGTCGCCGAGCAGCCATTGCTCGGGAACCTCGCAGGAGGCGAACTGGATAAACTGGTGGTGGTGGTGCTCGAACTGCCCGGACGGCGGCGAGACCGGGAAGAAGGAGGAGCACGGGGAGAGCAGCTCGTCGTCCATGGCCGGCGGGGCGTGAGTGCGTGTCGCTACTCGAACTCGCAAGTGGAGATGCGGCGAACCTGTATTTCCACTCCGCTATGGCCATGTATTTATACCTGTGGCACATTGGCGGTTGAGACATAATCTCCGTTCCTAAATATTTGTTTTTCTAGACATTCCAACAAGTGAGGCCCTGCTTGTTTCATAAGTCCTAAGATTTTTTTAAGTTCCAACGTATAAGTCATAAATCCCTACCTGTTTGTTTACAGGGACTTATAAGTCCCAAGTCTCTACCTGTTTGTTTACAGGGACTTATAAGTCCATGTTGCACCGCTGCAACGAGGCTCAGGAGATGGCCTGTCCGGTGATTGGAGGCACCGCTGCAATGAACCAAGGCAGAACGAACTGAGGCGGGCGGCGACGGGGCGGCGAACCGAGGCGGGACGGCGACGGGGCGGCGAACCAGGGCGGGGCAGCGACGGGGCGGCAAACCGAGGCGGGGCGGCGACGGGGCGAGAGGCGGGGCGGCGACG